TTGAGGAGGCTATCAAAATACTCTGACCATATCTCCAAGATATTTTGGCGGTACTTGAAAAGCGTGTTGCCATAAGCAGACCTGGCCGAGGTGATGGCTTGTTTTTAGGGGCCATAAAGGGCTTTGATGGCATCATAGAACTGTGGTGTGTTTTTTGTGTCCAGGAGGCTTTGGATCTGATCTGCCTTTTGGACCCACCAGGTGTCCTCCATGGTACAGTGATCATGCTGAGACTCTGCTTTGGCCTGGGAGAGGGAGGATTGGAGAGTGGGGAAGTGTGGGTTGGACAGGACGGCTTTGTGGGCTTGGCGTTTGTTCTGAAGGAGTGTGTGGTTGTTGGCAGCACTCGTTCAACCGGTCTTGCTGACGCTTTTTGGTGTACCCGACTCATATGGAGGCTACCTCGAGGATGGCTGTGCGCAGCTGAGTCTATGTGGTGTTGGGGGCGGAGTCCGGGGGAGTTGGGGGGGTGTTTGGTGGAGAGGAGACGCGGCAAGTTGTTCGTGACAGTAGGGTTTTTGAGGGTATTACATTTCAGTATCTTATTTGGGTGTTTCCTTGGATGGCGTGGACAGATCTCAATGCGGAGCTTCGCTTGGATCATATGGTGATCAGTCTAGCATTCTGCCCCATGCATGGCTTGGGTCACTAGCACATCCTTTTGGTCACAGTGATGGACAATAATGTAATCTAGGTGACAGTGTTTGGAGCAGGGGTGTTGCCAGGTGTTTTTGCATTTGTCCTTTAACTGGAAAAGGGTGTTGGTGATCACTATGTGGTGTTCAGATCATAGGGAGAGTAACCATAGCCCGTTGCTGTTCAGCTTACCCACCCCTAGTACACGGTCCCAGATCTGGTGTTCGGAGCCCACCCTGGCATTGAATTCTCCCATGAGGATTAGCTTGTCGGTATGTGGTGTTTTTAATGGCAGTGTCGAGAGATTTATAGAAGGCCTCCTTAGCATCGTCTGCATCCAGCGTAGGAGAATAAGCACTGATGAGCGTGGCAGAGCGTCCCCCAGCCAAGGGGATGTTCCATGTCATCAGCGGCTCATATATGCCAACAGGGCATTCAGGGACGAGCTGGAGGTTTTCACAGGCGGCGAGAAACTTCCAGAACACCCTTCCAGAAGGTATAACCCTCACCAACCTCTGTGAAGTCTTCTCCATGGAAGCAGGTTTCACTGAGCGCTGCAATGTCGGTGTTGTATTCCATGAATTCATGGGCCACGAGGGCTGTCCTTCCATGCAGTGTCAGTTTTTTCGGACGTTCCATGAAGCAACTTGAAGGGGTAAACGAGTCTTGGATTTCATTGAGTTTCAGCCGCTGAATGGGATGCCCCGATGGTAGCAGCTAACCACCCGGAGTGCAAGACAAGTTTTAGACCAAATTTTCTAGGTCCTTCCCCATCAGCGGTGAGCAGCACGCTGTCCCATCTCATGTCTTGGCGACCTACACCCCATCGCTGCCTACGTGCAGAATTTGGCTAGATACTCCTGGCCACATCCTTGACCTGCACCTTCCACCATTCACTGTCGCCGCAGGGCTTAAAAGGGGGGGGGAGGGTTTGTAGCTAGAAGCCTGCGCAGTGAGTGGATTAAGGCAAGAGTAGGATTGCACAGTTCATATGCCCACCATCTGCACTCCAGCCAGACTCTTGATGCCATGATGAGCTCACGATGACCTTCTTCTGGCCAAAGCTGTAGAGGACTGCCGTAGATCCGGTTTATTGAATAGCGCCGTTGCGGGTACCCACCACAGATTTGGAGTCAGGGTTTTCTGCCCTTGCCAAAGTTTACCCGCCAGGCAGTGAGGCAATGGTTGGCAAGTTGTAGATACCTCTGGGGACCACTGCAGCTCCGAGATACCCTACTGGTTTGGCCTGGTGGCACGGGACACCAGTTACTGTGGGCTGCCAAAGGGGAGGCACAGTAGGAGTTTTGTTGATGGAGAGGCTCTATCCTGGTAAGGAAGACTTACGCACTCAGCTTTCTTTTTCACCATGATGGCGAGCCAGCTGCAAAGTTGATCAGCATGGGTAGCAAAACATGGCAACCAAGCAAGCATGCAAGCAGAGCAGCAGGCAGGCAAGCAAGCAAGTGGACATGCACCTAAGCTAATCATGATTGCTGCCCCAGGCGCATCGCACAGCACTTTCAGATGGACTGCTTCTGCGGCCGTCTGGAACGCTCTTCCTTAGAAAGCCGCTGGGAGCTATTCACCTTAAAATCATCTAGATTGACAAACTCACTTCTTTAGAACTGCTTCTAGTTCATGTGTTTAGTTTTCTTTCCTTCCCCTGCACATTACGATTAGCGCGGTTGGCTACGTACGGTGCGAAAAAAGTTAAACATACACACATACATATAAACACTCAGTCTCATTCATACACAGCTCAAGCAGGTCGCTGATAACATCATCACGTGTATATTTATTGCAGCCAAATACTCTAAACGCGTGGCATCGATTGTAAATGTAGATCGGAAAAACTATAGGACCCATAGAAAAATCCAAGTGACCACCACGGGGAGAAAGAGGCACAGACATACATCCATAATACAGGTTTTTTTGGGTTAGATCACGTAAATATGTGTCGTTAAACCCGCCACCACCCGACACAGCCAATTAGTAAGGGTTGTCACATAAGCAGACCATGCCAATTCGTCACTAGTACAGCACACCGGTGTGTTGGAGAGCCAAGTCACAACATATACAATCTGAGTACGACGTTTCGCCAGTAATTACAACTAGCTTCATCAGGCGATGGCCAGATTTGTGGAGGCGTAGATGTGATGACAACAATTGTGTGCTCTTCTTGTGCAAAGTGGGGGGGGGGGGAAATTAATAAATCAACGTACATTATGCATGCGCATTCTGCGAGCCCATTAATCTTGTACTTCCTGTCCATTGTGTGTATTAAAATAGCCTTTCCAACTGTAATCCCTATTCAAGTATGGTGGAATGCATAAGCATGCATTTAAACAATATATTATTTTATGATTCGCTTCAAAGCAGCACTAAGTCAGTAGCTATCCAAACGGTTACAATTATTTGCATTTCTTTCAATTTCAACAGATTCTGTAATAAGTCTTGGCCAGTAGTAACTTGTTTTGCACAGAACTTCAACATTATCAAAATCAATTGAGTGTCCTTGTTGGCACGCGTTTTCTGCGACTGCTGACAGTTGTATTTGGGAGTAATTAATATTTATTTGGTGTTCTTTTAGTATCGTGCTGATCATTCATCCTGTTTGCCCAACATAGCATTTGCCACAAGTGCAATTAATCCGGTACACACCTTCTGTTGGTAGCTTCAGTAGTACATGTTTTGTACCAGATATACATTTCTGTATTTTATGTACTGTGCCAAATCTGACTCGGATGTTTTGTTTTTCCAAACATCTAGCTAGTTGATCAGTCACTCCCACAATATACAGATGTACAGTATTTTAATAGTTTTAATTACTTGGGCAGTTTCAATGCTCGTGTTATTTGATTTGGTTTTGGCATTCAATGCCCTGCTGATTTGTGCACCATTGTAACCGTTCAATTGCAGTGCATCTTTAACATGTTTAATTTCACTTCTCAGACTGTCACCATCTGACACTTTCTTAGCCTGATGAATGAGCGTCTTGATGACAGTGGATTTCTGTGTGGGGTAATGGTATGACTCTGCATTCAGTTACGTGTCAGTGTGCATTTTCTTTCGATAAACGCTGTATGTTATTTTACCATTTAAACCCCGTCCGAGCAGAATATCCAGAAATGGTAGAGTTCTGTCAGCTTCCACTTACATGGTGATCTGGATGGATGGGTTTTGCGAGTTGAGATGATTTATAAATTCGTTAAGTGTATCTTTGCCATGTGGCCAGACCACCAATGTGTCATCCACATATCTAACCAATCAGAGGGTTTTAGTGTACTTGAAGCTATTGCTTTCGTTTCAAAATCTTCAATGTGTAGTGGCATAGAATAGTAGTTTCGTGGCAAAGGGTAGTAGCATAGCGCTGGCTGCTGGCAGGGAAGGGGATCTGCGGCTTACGGCAGTCCTGACGTCAGCAGGCCAGGATATACACCAGAGGGGGATCTCGGGGAAAGGTCACAGAAGGGGCACACCAAGAACCCGCTGGTAGGTTCCAGAAAGGGGGCGTGGCCAGGGGCATGGCCCGGGGCAGAGCCAGGCCATGCTAACAGTATAAGAGGGACCCCTGTAGGGGACCTCGGGAATCTAGTTGGAGTGGGATCACCATTCTTCTTGTGGTCTTCACCATCCTTCCCGTCGTCTTCGCCATCCTTCTCGTCGTCTTCACCATTCTTCTTGTCGTCTTCACCATCCTTCTCTTCGTCTTCACCATCCTTCTTGTGGTCTTCACCATTCTTCTCGTCTTCACCATCCTTCTCTTCGTCTTCACCATTCTTCTCTTCATCTTCACCATTCTTCTCTTCGTCTTCACCATTCTTCTCGTCGTCTTCACCATCCTTCCCGTCGTCTTCACCATCCTTCCCATCGTCTTCGCCATTCTTCTCGTCGTCTTCACCATCCTTCCCATCGTCTTCACCATTCTTCTCTTCATCTTCACCATCCTTCTTGACATCGTCTCCGTCTTCACCATCTCGGGGCGTCACCAGTCAGGCAGCCTACCAACTCTCCTGACTGAGTAGCGTCGCTGGCAATAGACGGACTAATTATTAAGAGTGTTAACCCCGATGGTGCTTGTTAATAAAGAAGTGCCTCCAAGTCTTATAGTCTCCGAGTTATTCACTATACGTGTATAAATTCAGGAGAGAAAGAAGAGCCCATTGCTGCTCCTTCCTTTTGTTTATAGAAGTCACCTTTCCACAAGAAGTAGGTGTTCTTTAGACAGTGTTCAGCTAGTCGTGGAATATCTTTGGCTAAACCTGCGTTCGTTACCAGTGTCGAGTAATTTTATTGACTCGTTCACCGGAACCCTCGTGAACAGAGAAGTCATATCAAAACTTACGATAATATATTTAGGGTTAATTATATTTACGAGATGTTCAGAGTGTCGAGTAATTTTATTGACTCGTTCACCGGAACCCTCGTGAACAGAGAAGTCATATAAAAACTTACGATAATCTTTAGGGTTAATTATATTTACGAGATGTTCAGAGTTTTTGATGAACGAAGAGGTCCTACCGATGTAGAGCTGTATTTGTTTTGTTACGTATTGTGCTAATTTGTATGTGGCAGAGCCTATTTTACTAACTATGGGTTTTAATGAGACATCAGGTTTGTTAATCTTTGGTCACCCATAAAGTCTTGGTGGTTTTGATGTCCTTGGTTTCATCAGGTATTGCTCTTCCTTGGGATTTGATGACTTGGCAATGATTGCCGTTGTTTCAAATATACAGCAGCAGGCATAGTCAGGGTCACGGGACCAAAACCACGACCTCCTGCATACTAGGCAAGGTCGTCAACATCTCCCAGCTACCATGGTATTTAGAGTGTTTCAGACGCAGAACTCACGACCTCCTGCATACCAGGCAAGGTAGTTAACATCTCCACGGACAGCGAGAGACAGACTCCCCCCGACTCCAAATATACAACAGCAGGCATCGTCGGGGTCACGGTCTATATTCTGCAAACCTCCTGCATACCAAGCGAGGTAGTCAACATTTCCTAGCCAACGGACCCAGGCTGAGATCCAATCCCAGCCCCTGACTCCAAACCAGGTCCACATCTTACTCTGGGGTCCCAAATGCCCCACATCCTTGTTCCAGGTTTTGGTCATGAATGTGGATTCCCAACTCCATAACTCCGACCTCTGAACTCTGGCTCCGGACTCCACCTCCGGCTCTAGACTCCGGCTCCAGCTCTGAACTCCGGATTGCGACTCCGGACTCCAGCTCCGGGTCTTATCCCCAGTTCCATGAGCGCCAGGTGTGATTTTTGGGCCCCACTGAAGAGAAGAGTTCACTCCGTTTTTTTTTTGTTCCCCCAGGTACAGTACTGGGTCCCAGGTCCTGGTTCTGGTCCCAGTTCTGGTTCCAGTTCGAGTTGTGGTCCTGGTTCTGGTCCAGATCTGGGTCCCAGTTCTGGTCCGGGTTGTGGTCCTGACCCGATTCTGGTTCCGATTCTAGTGCTGGTCATGGTTCTAGTTTGGGTTGTGGTCCTGGTTCTATTCCAGATCTGGTTCCAGTTCTGGTTCCGATTGTGGTCCTGGTCCTAGTCCAGATCCGGATCTTGGAACCAGTTGTGGTCCAGGATCCCAGTTTCAGTTCGGGATGTGGTCCCAGTTCTGTTCCGGACCTATCTCCATTTATCATTCTGGTTTGGTTCATGGTCCCATTCCGGATTCCAAATTCCAATCCTGGATCCGCATTCCGGGTTTCTGGGTTTGGGTGCTCACGCCGCTTCCTGATTCCGTCTGCGTCTCCGATCGTGGATCACAGAGAGGTGGAGACGGCGAAGACTCCGTGTGGACAGAGACAGGGACAGCGTCTGGACACAGACAGACACACACAAATACAAAGATCCCCCGTATAGCCTGAACAGACTGTTGGGGCAAGTGCTGTTAGTAGCGAGTAGCAGTGCCTATGTACACTCACACACAAATAGACACAGACACACACAGCCACATACACAGACAGACAAAGAACCTCCATATAGCCTTAAAGGACTGTTGGGGCAAGTGCTGTTAACGAGCACCTATGAAGGCCAGAACAGCACACGACGAGGTGGGTTGCCGGCACAACGCCCGGCCGCCTTTGTCTCCCCCAGTCCCAGAAACACTCACATACTCACCCACTCACACATTCACTCAGTAACCTATTCAATGGCTCACAAACAAAGCTTCCGCAGGTAGCCCATGCAGTTACTGTAGGGGCAAGTGCTGTTATTAGTGAGTAGCAGCCGCGCCTATTAAAGCCGTCAATGTGGCACATGAGGGGGTGGGTGGTACAGCGCCACGCCCTCCCCGCCTACAGTGAGGGAAAAAAGTATTTGATCGCCTGCTGATTTTGTACGTTTTCCCACTGACAAAGAAATGATCAGTCTATAATTTTAATGGTAGGCTTATTTGAACAGTGAGAGACAGAATAACAACAAGAAAATCCAGAAAAAACGCATGTCAAAAATGTAATAAATTGATTTGCATTTTAATCAGGGAAATAAGTATTTGACACCTCTCAATCAGAAAGATGTCTGGCTCCCAGGTGTCTTTTATACAGGTAACGAGCTGAGATTAGGAGCACTCTTCAAGGGAGTGCTCCTAATCTCAGCTTGTTACCTGTATAAAAGACACCTGTCCACAGAAGCAATCAATCAATCAGATTCCAAAACTCTCCACCATGGCCAAGACCAAAGAGCTCTCCAAGGATGTCAGGGACAAGATTGTAGACCTACACGAGGCTAGAATTGTCTACAAGACCATTGCCAAGCAGCTTGGTGCGAAGGTGACAACAGTTGGTGCGATTATTCGCAAATGGAAGAAACACAAAATAACTGTCAATCTCCCTCGGCCTGGGGCTCCATGCAAGATCTCACCTCGTGGAGTTGCAATGATCATGAGAACGGTGAGTAATCAGCCCAGAACTACACGGGATGATCTTGTCAATGATCTCAAGGCAGCTGGGACCATAGTCACCAAGAAAACAATTGGTAACACACTATGCCGTGAAGGACTGAAATCCTGCAGCGCCCGCAAGGTCTCCCTGCTCAAGAAATCACATATACATGCCCATCTGAAGTTTGCCAATGAACATTTAAATGATTCAGAGGACAACTGGGTGAAAGTGTTGTGGTCAGATGAGACCAAAATGGAGCTCTTTGGCATCAACTGAACTCGCCGTGTTTGGAGGAGGAGGAATGCTGCCTATGACCCCAAGAACACCATCCCCACCGTAAAACATGGAGGTGGAAACATTAGGCTTTGGGGGCGTTTTTCTGCTAAGGGGACAGGGCAACTTCACCGCATCAAAGGGACGATGGACGGTGCCATGTACCATCAAATCTTGGGTGAGAACCTCCTTCCCTCAGCCAGGCCATTGAAAATGGGTCGTGGATGGGTATTCCAGCATGACAATGACCCAAAACACACGGCCAAGGCAACAAAGGAGTGGCTCAAGAAGAAGCACATTAAGGTCCTGGAGTGGCCTATCCAGTCTCCAGACCTTAATCCCATAGAAAATCTGGAGGGGGCTTAATGTTCGAGTTGCCAAACGTCAGCCCCGAAACCTTAATGACTTGGAGAAGATCTGCAAAGAGGAGTGGGACATAATCCCTGCTGAGGTGTGTGCAAACCTGGTGGCCAACTACAAGAAACGTCTGACCTCTGTGATTGCCAACAAGGGTTGTGCCACCAAGTACTAAGTCATGTTTTGCAGAGGGGTCAAATACTTATTTCCCTCATTAAAATGCAAATCAATTCATAACATTTTTGACATGCGTTTTTCTGGATTTTTATTGTTGTTATTCTGTCACTCACTGTTCAAATAAACCTACCATTAAAATTATAGACTGATCATTTCTTTGTCAGTGGGCAAACGTACAAAATCAGCAGGGGACCAAATACTTTTTTCCCTCACTGTATGTCTCTCCCAGTGGTGATGTTTACTACACATCACACCGCACCAGGTACTCATTTGAGGCTGAGTCGACCTAGGAGGGGGGGCCCGGACCGGTGTCAGATAATCGCTAGCACTGTGTGGCGTTGGCGGTGGTGGGTCTTTATGGGTGTGTCTATGACAACTCATCCGATGATCTATAAAGCTCTTGAATCACACACACACACACACGTTCAATATCACAATCTAGACTGGAGCGGCAATCTTGAGTCACACCTGCGGCACGAGCAACGATGGGTGGGTGTTGTGGCGCGACGGGCAGCGCAGCGCCTGGAGCACAGAGTACAGGTCGTCGCTGTCGTTCCCGGCGGTGCCAGCGGAGTTCCCGGTGGTGCCTGCGGCGTTCCCGGCGGCATTCCCGGCATCAGCAGCAGCGGCAGCGGCGAGCTCCTCGAAGGTCCGGATCAGCAGCACCAGTGCCACCCGCAGCAGGACTTTCACGCCTGCAGCAGGGGTACCGGTAGCAGTCACAGCAGTAGCGATTGACAGCAGCAGCAGCAGTAGCAGTGACAGCAGTAGCAGTGACAGCAACAGCAGTAACAGCAGTAGCATTGATAGCAGTAGCAGTGACAGCAGTAGCAGTGACAGCTGCAGAAGTAGCAGTGGCAGCAGGAGCATTGGCAGCAGTAGTAGTGACAGCAGCAGCATCATGAACAGCAGCAGAATCAGTAGTTGTTGGACCACTGCCAGCAGCATAATTAGCAGCAGGATACTTAACAGCAGCAGAAGTAGCATCAGCAGCAGCATTGACAGGAGCAGAAGAGGCAGCAGGATAATTAACAGCAGCAGGAGCATTGACAGCAGAAGCAGCAGTAGCACCATGTACAGCAGGACCTTCACGCCTGCAGCAGGGGTAGCGGTGACACATGGTGGCAAACAACCGCATTTCACCAGTGCGTGTCTCCGTGTGTCACCGTGGGTCACCGTGTGTCACTGTCACGTGTCACTGTCACGTGTCACTGCGTGTCAGCGTCATGTGTCAGTGTGTGTCACAGTCGCGTGTCAGCATCGTGTGTCACAGTGTCACCGTGTGTCACAGTGTCACCGCGTGTCAGCGTCGCGTGTAAGCGTCGCGTATCGCTGTCGTGTGTCACCGTGCGTCACTGTTGTGTGTCACCGCATGTCACTGTGTCAGCGTCGTGTGTCAGTGTGTGTCACTGTGTCTCACTGTTGTATGCCACCGCGTGTCACTGTCGCATGTCTCAGTGCGTGTCACCACGTGTCACCTTCGCACAGGAACATGTCCCAGACGCGCGCCAGGCTAGTTGCAGGCAGCGTGCGTGCGAACGCGCACAGAAGCCACTCGGGCAGGATGAGCGTCGGGGGAAGCTCCAGGCGGTGCAGCAGGACGCGAGCGCGCGGGGACAAGCGGGGCATCAGCAGCAGGGACAGCAGCTCACAGTCCTGCTGCACTGCCTCCTGCAGCAACAGCAGCAGCCACACGGCAACCACAATCATACAGCAACCACACAGCCACACAGCAACCACAATCATACAGCAACCACACAGCCACACAGCAACCACAATCATAGCAACCACACAACCACACAGCCCACACTCATACAGCAACCACACAGCAACCACAATCATGCAGCAACCACACAACCACACAGCCCACAATCATACAGCAACCACACAACCACAATCATATAGCAACCACACAACCACAATCATACAGCAACCACAATCATACAGCAACCACACGACCACAATCATATAGCAACCACACAACCACAATCATGCAGCAACCACACAGCTCACAGTCCTCCTGCACCACCTCCTGCAGCAGCAGCCGCATGGCAACCACAATCATACAGCAACCACACAACCACACAGCAACCACAATCAAACAGCAACCACACAACCACAATCATGCAGCAACCACACAACCACACAGCCCACAATCATACAGCAACTACACAACCACAATCATGTAGCAACCACACAACCACAATCATACAGCAACCACACGACCACAATCATATAGCAACCACACAACCACAATCATACAGCAACCTCAATCATATAGCAACCACACAGCCACAATAATACATCAACCACACATCCACAATCATTTAGCAACCATACAACCACAATCATGCAGCAACCACACAACCACACAGACACAATCATGCAGCAACCACACAGCCACAATGATACAGCAACCAAAAAAACACAATCATACAGCAACCACACAACCACACAGACACAATCATGCAGCAACCACACAGCCACAATGATACAGCAACCACACAACCACAATCATGCAGCAACCACACAACCACAATAATACAACCACAATCATATAACAACCACACAGCCACAATGATACAGTAACCACACAACCACAATCATTCAGCAACCACACAACCACAATCATACAGCAACCATAATCATACAGCAACCACACAACCACAATCATACAGCAACCACACAACCACAATCATACAACAATTATACAGCACAATTATACAGCAACCACACAACCACAGTCATTCAGCAACCACACAGACACAATCATACAGAAGCCACAATCATGCAGCAACCACAATCATTCAGCAACCACACATACACACTGCCACACTGCAACATGTCGGTGCCGGTGTTAGTGTAGATGCTAGTGCTTATGCTAGTCTAGGTGTTAATGCGGGTGCTGGTGTTAGTGCAAGTGTTAATGCTGGTGCTGGTGTTAGTGCCGGTGTTAGTGCAGGTGTTAGTGCAGGTGCTAGTGCAGGTGTTAGTGCAGGTATTTGTGCAGGTATTTGTGCAGGTGTTAGTGCAGATGTTGGTTCAGGTGCTAGTGCAGGTGCTAGTTGCACGTGGTAGTCCAGGTGTTAGTGCAGGTGTTAGTGCAGGTGTTGGTGCAGGTATTGATGCAAGTGCTAGTACATGTGTAGTGACGTTATACGGATCACTACAGTGCTTTGCGCTGTGTCTGTTGTGGAGATAACTAGCAGGGTACAGTACCATGCACGTGACGGGCCGGGGTGAGGTATAAGGGGCACGTGAGGAGAAGTCACCCCGGCTCAGGTTAAGCATGTGACAGGATGGGCGAACAGGTGCAGGGGAACAGGAATGGGCCGGACGGGCCGAGGGAAGGGGCAGCCGAGGAAGGAGCGGGGGTAGCGGGAGCATCAGAGGATATAAGGGAAGCCTCGAGTGAGGTTCGAGTCTGTTCAGTGGTAGGAAGAATCCTGCTGGTCGCCTGGGTCCACGCTCTTTGACATCGTGGGTCAACAGCGCGAGGGCTGCTCTGGCCAGCGATAGCTATCCCGTCCAAAGTGGGTCAACAGTAGGTGGCTGCTCTGGCCAGATATATAGTTACCCTGCGCGGAGAGGATAGGTGGACGTAGCCCCATCCGAAGTGAGTTAGGTGATATAGTCCCATATGTAACAGTGTAGTATTGTGTGAATAAAAGTTGTTGCCTCCTAACAGTGTGTCTGCAAATGCTAACATTACACATGTGCTAGTGCTGGTGTTAGTGCATGTGTTAGTGCAGGTTTTAGTGCAGGTGTTAGTGCTGACCAGTCCAGGGCTGTAGTACCCAGGGAGGTAGTGCTCACAGATCTGGACCAGGCACCAGAACGCCTCCTGTTGGGTACACGGATTCACAATGACCGGGTCGGGATACACGGCCAGCATTGGACTCTACAGAGTCTGTACATATGTAGTCTGTATGTATTTGTGTAGTATGTGTGTGTGTATGTATTCTGTATATAGTATGTAGTGTAGTATGTGTGTATGTAGTCTGTATATAGTATGTAGTGTAGTATATAGTACATGTATGTAGGTAGTGTATTTTAGTGTGTAGTAGTGTAATGTGTAGTAGTGTAGTGTATAGTAGTGTATAATAGTGTAGTGTATAGTAGTGTAGATTATATGTAGGAAGTACATATGTAATTTGTATGTATGTACTTTGTATGTAAGTCTGTAGGCATGTAGTATGTGGTACGTGCATCGTACATATGCAGTATGTATGTAGTCTTTATGTATGTACTATGTATGTGTAGTGGTATTTATTCACGTGGACAACTTCTTATTCTCCTGTTACTTTATTCGAAGCATCCCCCACGGGTGCTCCTCACGTTGAACACCACGTACTCCTCTCGCGAACTCTCCCTCTCTTGCTCTGCTAGCCTGCTACTCCGAGCTCACTCTCCCTTGCCCCGCTAGCCTATTTAGTCTGCACTCTGCTAGCCTGTCACGGATGCTCTCTCTGGCTCGGCTAGCCTGTTCTCCACTAGCCTCTTACTGTATACTCCGCTAGCTTCTCACCCCGCTAACCTCTCACTGAATATCCCGCTAGCCTATTCTCCGTGAGCCTATCACACTCACACTAAGGATTCCGCTAGCCTCTCCCTCGCTAGGCTGTTACTACACCCACACCTCCAAACTCGACCGTGCCCCCAGCGGGGGTTCAGCCAACACCGCAAACGGAGGCAGTTTGGGGATACTGGGTCATATTGTCGCCTCCATTACAATTGGGGACATTGAATTGGAAGGCCCCGGTCTGGTCTTGAAGACGTTGGCCGTGCTATGCCTCTTAGGCACAGATTTCAGAAACGACATCGTAAATGATAGCAGCTCGACGAAGTGGCTGTTGATTCTAAATGTAGAAGGAAAAACCGGATGACCTGGAGAAAAATCCACGTGACCACCATGCAGAGACAGAGACAGACGCAGACTCCAAATATACAGCAGGTGTGGTCAGGGTTCGGATCGTACCCACAACTCTCTGTATACTAGGCGAGGTAGTTAACATCTTGTAACCACCGAGCACCCCAGTTTGCGTACTTGGGCAGTGTTGAGTCTGTAGGCAGTGCTGATTCTATGGGCAGTGTTGAGTCTATGGTGCAGTGCTTAGTCAATGGTGCAGTGCACTTAGTCTATGGTGCAGTGTTGAGTTACTGGGCAGTTTCGATTTAAAGCTTTCGTGACTGCAAGGAATCATCTTCTTTGGTTATTTCGGTAAAGTCACGTAGAATGAGAATAAAATAATAAATTGATAAAATAAAATAACACAATAATATTCTCACGACGTTTTGGCCACAACACAAGCGGCCTTCATCAGGTGAAGGGACGAGACTGTCTGGAGGACAGCGCTGGAGTGAGAAAGCCACGCTGAGATCACGACCTTTAAGCTGTGTGAGAAGAAACAAAGCGCCTTGACAAAGGAATTAGCATATAATTTAACATTAAAATGGCTGAGTGATTAGCTTGTGACTGGTCACAGAAAAGGCTATGTTAAAGTTAAAGCATACACATCCGCAAAGGCACCCCTTGACAAAGGAATTGGCATACAATTTAGCATTGAAATAGCTAAGTTAAAGTATACACATCCACAGAGGCACCCCTTGACAAAGGAATTAGCATAGAATTTAGCATTGAAACAGCTGAGTGATTAGCTTGTAACTGGTCACAGAAATAGCTATGTTAAAGTCAGAGCATATACATTCACCGAGGCACCTAGTACAAATCAGACAGGAGAAATTAGCATTGAAATAACTAGGCGAATTTAGCATTGAAACAACTGAGTGATTAGCTTGTGACTGGTCACAGAAATGGCTATGTTGAAGTCAAGGCCTACACATCTGAGCTATTCACAGTAACTGGGTATACAATACAATATATAATGAATACTATATAGTGAACCAATAAAAAAAACGAAAATATAAATTACCTCAATGTTAGCAATAAACTCTATATTCTCCAATCAGCTAAGCTACCAACAATAAGTCGTTATATATCACAATGCTATATGGCGAAAAAATAGGTGGATTCTTACCCTCAACTTTAGCGACACGGATAGCTACGGGTCCCGTTCAGACGGACGAGTTCATCCATGGTCGGAACAGAGGAGGGGGAGAGAGACAGCTGCGAGGCGCTGTTATACTCCATGTTGTAAACCATACCATTAACCGTGGTGTGAGAGGTATTAAGAGTCAATGCCAGCGAAAGAGCTGCGATCTGAAGGTCATCGTAAAATACAATTAATTAAGAACGGAAATGGTTTAAAACATCTTTCCAATGGTTACTAAGCCAGAATCCATCTTCTCACGCACCGAACTCGATCACTTCTCACGCACCAAACTCGATCAGTTAGACAAGACACTCTACAAATCACACTTAACATTGACAGCAACAATGTCTACATCGGATTGGGAACATGTAGACAATATGACTACCTCTTCGGCTGCCACTATGTCGACCAAATGTAGGGACAATTTGATTTCCAAATTCAATCACCTCTCCAGCAAAAAATCGGATCCACACACCGAAAAGATAGACGTCAACAAAGTCGTAATTAATCGTAGTAACAGTTCCATTTCTGATGGTCTGAAATCCGTTTTAGCTAAAGGTCTAAACTTTGCTGTCACACCGAGACACTTACCGGTTAATGATATCATTGCCCATGTCAACGTTGCACTCAAGGGCTTGAGTCACATCTCTGCAGACGTAGCAAGATCTGAAATCGCTGCAACCCTCAAAAACGCTAAGTTGCCACCCAGCAACATCAGCAAAGACAAACGTTTTGAATTATCTCAATTAAAAAAGAGAGATGATATTGTCGTCCTCTCAGCCGACAAGGGCAATGCCACTGTCATCATGGACAAAACAGAATATAACAACAAAATTCAAGAACTACTCAACAATGGCAGCTGTACAAAAATAAAAAGAGATCCCACCAACAGCCTGGTTACCAAAACGAACAAAATCATCTCTGATTCAACAGCATTAATTGATCAGACCAAACAGTTCTCGTTGAAACCCTCTGCTGCCAGACCACCAAGATTATATGGCCTTCTAAAGATACACAAAGAAGATACACCCCTTCGTCCCATCGTCTCTACTATCAACTCCCCCACCTATAAACTGGCACGTTTTCTTGCTGATATACTGCGACCTTTCACTGGAAAAACCACCTCTGCGGTACAAAATTCTACTCACCTGGTATCGACAATCAAAGACATTTCCCTGTCCCCAGACGACCTGCTTGTCAGTTTTGATGTGGTGTCCTTGTTCACCAAAGTCCCGGTACCTGACACCATCGCTATCATTGAAGACCTGGTTCATCAAGGACTGCACACTGATGTACCCCCCTGGTGAGACATTGCTTAACCAACACATACTTCACCTGGAATGGAACTTTCTACAAACAAACTGAGGGCACCCCAATGGGCTCCCCCCTATCTCCGGTTGTAGCCAACGTATTCATGGAAAAATTTGAAACTGACACCATCCAGACTGCCACTCTACGCCCAACCTTATGGAAGAGGTACGTGGATGACACCTTTGTCATCTGGCCACATGGCCAGCCTGCTCTAGACCAATTCCGCGACCACATCAATTCCATACATCCAGCCATCAGATTTACCATGGAGGTCGAAAAAGATGTCAAACTACCCTTTTTGGATGTCTTAATTAAAAGGAGACATGATGGTTCAATGAGCCACTGTCTACAGGAAAGCTACCCATACAGATGCTTACTTGAAACTGGATTCCCACCACCATCCATCCCAGAAGAACTCCCTCATCAAGACTCTATACCATAGAGCCCAATGCATTTCCGACCAGGAACACATTACCAGTGAACTCAAGCACGTACACCAGGCTCTCAGGGCTAATGGTTACTCCGACTACACAATCCGCAAAGCCATCACTCCAGTCATGAAGAAGGATCCTCTTGTGGAGCCACTCAAAACCATCACCTAACCCTATATTGCAGGGGTCACTAAAAAGATCTCCAAAATCCTGAATAAACACAAGATCCAGGTCCGATTCAACACAGTACATAAAATCCGTGATCTAGTTCCATTGGTAAAAGATGCTGTTCCAGACATACAGTACCCGGGCGTTTACAAAATAAAGTGCCTCTGTGGTAGTAGCTACATTGGAGAAACCAAACGACATAACTCGGACCGCATCCGCGAACATAAAGCAGACTTGAAACACGGTAGAACGAACTCCTCTGCCGTGGCAGATCACTGTTATAATTCAGTGGGCTCACATGACATTGACTTCTCCAAGACGGAGGTTCTTTGCAAACCAACCGGCTACCATGAGAGATTCGTTCATGAGGCCATTCATATATATAAGCACAGAGACAATTTCAACCGAGAAGATGGATTCTGGCTTAGTAACCATTGGAAAGATGTTTTAAACCATTTCCGTTCTTAATTGTATTTTACGATGACCTTCAGACCGCAGCTCTTTCGCTGGCATTGACTCTTAATACCTCTCACACCACGGTTAATGGTATGGTTTACAACATGGAGTATAACAGCACCTGGCAGCTGTCTCTCTCCCCCTCCTCTGTTCCGACCATGGATGAACTCGTCTGTCTGAATGGGAACCGTAGCTATCCGTGTTGCTAAAGTTGAGGGTAAGAATCCACCCATTTTTTCGCCATATAGCACTGTGATATATAACGACTTATTGTTGGTAGCTTAGCTGATTGGAGAATATAGAGTTTATTGCTAACATTGAGGCAATTTATATTTTAGTTTTTTTTTATTGGTTCACTATATAGTATTCATTATATATTGTATTGTATACCCAGTTACTGTGAATAGCTCAGATGTGTAGGCCTTGACTTCAACATAGCCATTTCTGTGACCAGTCACAAGCTAATCACTCAGTTATTTCAATGCTAAATTTGCCTAGTTATTTCAATGCTAAATTCTCCTGTCTGATTTGTACTAGGTGCCTCGGTGAATGTATATGCTCTGACTTTAACATAGCTATTTCTGTGACCAGTTACAAGCTAATAACTCAGCTATTTCAATGCTAAATTATATGCTAATTCCTTTGTCAAGGGGTGCCTCTGCGGATGTGTATACTTTAACTTAGCTATTTCAATGCTAAATTGTATGCTAATTCCTTTGTCAAGGGGTGCCTTTGCGGATGTGTATGCTTTAACTTTAACATAGCCTTTTCTGTGACCAGTCACAAGCTAATCACTCAGCCATTTTAATGCTAAATTATATGCTAATTCCTTTGTCAAGGCGCTTTGTTTCTTCTCACACAGCTTAAAGGTCGTGATCTCAGTGTGGCTTTCTAACTCCAGCGCTGTCCTCCAGACAGTCTCGTCCCTTCACCTGATGAAGGCCGCTTGTGTTGTGGCTGAAACGTCGTGAGAATATTATTGTGTTATTTTATTTTATCAATTTATTATTTTATTCTCATTCTACGTGACTTTACCGAAAGAACCAAAGAAGATTACTAGGCAGTATTGAGTTTTTTGGGCAGCGTTGAGTGTATGGGCAGTGTTGAGTCTATGGGTTAGTGTTTAGTCTATGGGCAATGTTGAGTCTATGGGCAGTGTTGAGTCTATGGTGCAGTGTTGAGTCTCTGGACAGCGTTGAGTCTATGGGCAGGGTACAGTCTATAGGGCAGCATTGGGTCTATGGGTAGTGCTACGTCTATGGGCAGTGTGCTTATGACCAGCTTGGGTTTGACAGCAGAGGTCTCACTCCGAATCAACCGAGCGGCATTGTGTTTTCATCGGCTGCATAATGCTGCTATATGGAAGCTACCTGGTCTGCCACTTTGCAAGAAGCTTTGGGTCTTCTCGGCCACATCCATGCCCTCCCTTCTCTTTGCTTGTGAGCTGTGGAGCCCTCTAAAGAAAGTAAGAACATCTGTGCCGGTTTGAAACATTTAGGCTGGCCCTGCCTAAGATCCATCCCGGGTTTAACTTGCAAGCTGGATCACAGTGTGAGGAGCTCACAGATTCTTGAAAGATCTTGACACAGTACCCATCATAGTGAGCTCCTAGTGGATGGGTGGGTGGGTGAGTGTATGGGAGGGTGAGTGTGAGCGATCTGGACACAGCCCCCATCACTAGTGAGCTCCAAGTGGGTGGGTGAATGGGTAGGTGGGTCATGTAGCCCAAGTCCAGCCACTGCACGCCCAAGCAGCTTCTGTTTGACTGGATAGAAGGGGCTAAACGGAGCGTGACAAAGGCTGGAAAAGGGATGGACTGGTGGGTGAGTGGGTGGGTGGGTGAGTATGTGGGAGGGTGACCAACAACTGAGTGTAGAGGAGTGATGCTCACAACAACGAGTGGAGCGCCGGGTGGATAAAACTCAAAGTTGGCATAGTGAGGAGCATGGTTGGTGCATGTTTTGGCTGGCCACTGAACAAACACGGTGGTCACCGCATCGCGCGGCGATTTCAGATGCAGCCGTCTGGAACGCTCTTCTTTCAGATATTAGGAAGCCACTGGGAGCTATGATGCCACTTTAAAATCATATAGATTGACAAACTAATTTCTTTAGAACGCCTTCTTGTGTTTAGTTTGTTGTCCTTCCCCCCCGTACCTCCGATCAGCACCGTTGGCTACGTACGGAGCGAAAGAAGTTCTACATACAAACATATGTAGTGACATTTCCTGTCACGGCCAGGGGAATAAAGGGGAAGCCCCGGTCTTCGGCTCAGCATCGTGGGTCAGCAGCATGTGTGCTGGCTGACCCGATCAATGGTTAACCCGCACTCGCATAGCGATAGGGTAGCCACACTTTACTATAGAACCCGAGGCAGTTAGAGTTACCACATTAGGAAAGTTGTTTAATAAAAGTGTTGCCTCCACCATAGTGTGCGTGTGCCTCTGTACATCACACCACACATACATTATCTGAACAACCGGTCCTGGGTCTGCCCTTGGTCGACTCAGCCTCAAATGAGAACCTGGTGCAGTGTGTAGCAAGTGGGAAGACAATGGCGGCCACCCACTCGCTCGAGTGCCACAGTGATGGCCTTCATAGGCACTGCTAGCTAACAGCACTTGCCCCAACAGTTTATCGAGGCAATACGGGGATCTTTGCCTCTGGGTGCATGTGTGTATATAGGCACTGCTGCTACTCGCTATGAACAGAACTTGCCCCGAGAGCGTGTTAAGGCTCATGGGGGATCTTTGTCTTTGTGTGCGTGAGTGCATACGGGTGTGTATGCGTGTGTATGCATGGAGTGATGTGGTACAAGAGGACGTGGAGCTGAGTGGACTTGCCGATGACTGGTACCAGCGGTGTCAAGATCGGCCTCTGTGGAGGAGGCTCGTGAAGGACGCTACTGGGCAGTTGGAGGTAGTCGCCCTCCAACAACAACGGAGGGCGGAGGAGCGACGCTCACAACAACGAGCGGAGCGCCGGGTGGCTAAAGCACAGCAGGTTGGCACAGTAGGGGGCACAGGTGGTGCATCAGCCAGTCATCTCAGTCAGTCGACCCGTGGCACCTGGGTCTGCCCCGTGACCTCCTGCCAGCGGGCGTTCGACACTCCACGTGGCCTCAAGGTGCACATGGCCTGGCACAAGCGTCGTGGTGACGTCACCGCCACTTAGTGGCGAATGGCGGTTGTTGTTGTTGTATGCATGTGCGTGTGTATGCATGTGCATGTGTGCATGCGTGTGTGTGTGCGTTCCTGTATGTGTGCGTTTGTGCATGTGCGCATTTGTGTGTGTGTGTCTGCGTGTGTGTATGCATGCGTGTGTGTATATGCGTGTGTGTGCGCGCATGTGTACGTGTGCGTGCACGCGTGTGTGTGTGCGTGCGCTTGTGTGTGTGCAGGTGTTGGTACCTCGGCTGGCATGCGCATGAGCAGGGTGGCTGCGATGGGCGCCTGCGCCTGACAGTAGCCGACCTCCGGGCAGAGCACGGAGAATGCTTGGAGCACCCGGGCCAGATCCCTCTGCCTGATGGTGTGGGGTGGTAGTAGGAGTGGTTGGGACACACACACAGCACGGTTTTGCTACGTGCGGTGTGAAAGAAGTTCAACATATATACATACGTATATGTAGTGGGTTATACGGAGGCACACACTTGAACTCAGGGGCAACACGTTTATTACACGGCCCCAACAAGGCTACTACTTACATATAGGTGATAACTACACGGTTAACTAGACCACAACGGGGTAACTACATAACCGGGTTAGTCAGTAACACACTGCCTGACCCACGTTGCCAAGCATAAAGACCAAAGACCGAGGATCGAAGAGACGTAGCACCAAAGGGTTCCATTCCAACGGACAGCCGCGATTGCTCTCGGGATCTCCTTTTTATGCTCCCAAGCGTGGCCTCGCACCGCCTTCGGCCATGCCCCCTTCTGGATCTCACCAGAAGGTTCTCGACTGAGCATCACGTGTCCCTCAAGCCACCCTTTGGGCTATACACTACACACCACATTACTATACACTACATAGAACACTACTACACTATACACTACACTATATGCTAAACTACAGTACTATACACTACACTAAACGCTTTACTACTATACTATAAACTACACACTACTATACACCACACTACTAAATACTACACTAGTCAATATACTTTGCTACACTACTATACACTGCACTATACTAGAGTACTATACACTACACTATACGACTAAACTATACACTACACACTACACTACTATACAGTACCTACATACATGCACAAATGACTACACTACTCTATACACTATACTACTATACATTACACTACTACGCTGTACAATATTACACACTACACTACAATCCACTACACACTACACTACTCAACTATACTGTGCTACACTACTATACACGACGATACACTACACCACTATACTACATTGAGACAACTCTCCCCCGTGGAAACTCGTTTCTTTACAACTGCTTGTTGCTGTGTTTAGTTTGTTGTCCTTCCCACGCACCTCCAATTGTCACGGTTGGCGATGTACAGTGCAAAAGAAGTTAAATGCACGTACAGACTAATATACATGACACTACTCTATACTACACTAAACACTGCACTACTATACACTGCACTATATACTATACAACAGTACTACACAATACACGATACACTATACTACACACAACACTGAATACACTACAGTCCTATACACTAAACACGACACTACTATACACTACACACTATACGACGATACACTAAACACGACACTACTAAGCACTAAACTACTTTATTCTACTACTATGAAGTTCTTTACACTACACGACTATACACTACACAGGACACTACTATATATTGCACTACTACACAAAAGATCCTGGTGAGGATTATTCAACATTGCCTTGCCAGGCACGCTGCAAAAATACTATATTATCTGTCCGTCTGCTACAGCAGAGGTGTAGGGAATTCCAGCAAGACCTACATCTCTGCTTCATTGACCTGGTTAAGGCCTATGATACCATCAGTAGGCCTGGGCTCTGGGTTGTTCTTCGTGCTTTTGGAGTCCCTGACCCTCTGCTCACGACCATTAAGGACCTTCATGATGGTGAGCAGGTCCGGGTAAAACTACGTGGCCGGGAGTCAGAGCCATTCCCTGTACACCTTGGGGTGCGGCAGGGATGTCCTCTGGCTCCCACATTATTTAACATCTATTTCGACCACATAGTTCGTGAAGCCTTCAATAGCTGTACCGGGGCAATCTCCATTTGGTACATATACAATAGGAGGCTAATTTATGCCCGGGTGCGGTCAAAGGATGGCTCCCTATTGCTCAACTACGTTATGTATGCCGATGATTTGGTAATAGCTACTCATTCAGAGGAGGAGTTGGAGACACTGCTACTGAGACTGGAGCGTGCCACTAAGAGATGGGGCCTTACCATCAGCCCCACCAAAACTAAGCACATGCTTGGGTATTTTGTACCATCGGACACTCCACCCCCAGAACTCCAAATCGGTGATGGGGCAGTTGTGGAGAGAGTGGAGAGTTTCTCATACCTGGGCAGTGTGCTTATAACCGGCTCCAGTTTAACAGCAGAGGTCTCACTCCGAATCAGTCGAGCGGCAATATCTTTTCATCGGTTGCGTAATGCTGTGTGGAAGCTACCTGGTCTGTCGCTCCGCAATTAAGCTTCAGGTCTTCTCAGCCACGGTCATTCCCTCCCTTCTCTACGCTTGCGAAACGTGGACCCCCCTAATGGAACATCTTCGCCGGTTAGAAACATTAAGGCTAGCCTGCTTACGATCCACCCTGGGTTTAACCAGGCTGGATTGTGTGAGGAGCTCACAAATCCTTGAAAGATCTGAGCAAAGTTCCATCGGTGAGCTCCTCCGGCAGGCAAGGCTGCGTTGGCTGGGTTATGTAGCCCGCATGCCCAGCCACCGCATGCCGAAACAGCTTTTGTTCGGCCGGATCGAGGGGACTAAACGGGCGCGGCACGGGCAAGAGAAGAAATGAAGTGATGTGGTACAGGAGGACGTGGAGCTGAGTGGACTTGCCGATGACTGGTACCAGCGGTGTCAAGATTGGCCTCTATGGAGGAGGCTCGTGAAGGACGCTACTGGGCAGTTGGAGGCAGTCGCCCTCCAACAACAACGGAGGGCGGAGGAGCGACGCTCACAACGAGCGGAGCGCCGGGTGGCTAAAGCACAGCAGGTTGGCACAGTAGGGGGCACAGGTGGTGCATCAGCCAGTCATCTCAGTCATCTTAGTCAGTCGACCCGTGGCACTTGAGTCTGCCTCGTGACCTCCTGCCAGCGGGCGTTCGACACTTCACGTGGCCTCAAGGTGCACATGGCCTGGCACAAGCGTCGTGGTGACGTCACCGCCACTTAGTAGCGAATGGCGGTTGTTGTTGTTGTGTGTACCCATGTCCACCCATGGTGGTGAACATCTCGTGCGAGGGGAACTGCCGGTGGACATCTCTCTCGATTGCCTCCACCCAACGTGGGTCGCCCGGCGCAGATGCAAGCTCCTGCGGAGACACCAAGGATAGAGTCGACAGCTCAGTGGAGGACAGAGTGGACAGCTGAGTGGAGGACTGAGTGGACAGCTGAGTGGACAGCTGAGTGGACAGCTGAGTGGAGGACTGAGTGAACAGCCCAGTGGATAGCTGAGTGAACAGCCCAGTGGATAGCTGAGTGAAGGACTAAGTTGACACCATCACTCCCCATGATATAAACAGACACAAACATACAAGAACAATAATCGCTGTTTGCCACTAAGTGGCGGTGACATCACTATGGCGCTTGTGCCAGGCCATGTGCATTTTAAGGCCACGTGAAGTGTTGATTGCCTGCTGGCAGGAGATCACGGGACAGTCCCAGGTGCCATTAGTTGACTGACTGAGATGACTGGCTGATGCACCACTTGTGCCCACTACTGTGCCAATTTGCTATACTTTAGCCGCTCGCCACTCAGCTTGTCATTGGGAGCATTGCTCCTCTGCCAGCATCACGCCCGGCCACCTTTGTTTCCCTAGTGGCAATGTTTACACATCGCACCAGGTAATTTTTTGAGTCTGAGTCGACCTAGGGGAGGCCCAGGACCGGTTCAGATACTCATCACTGGTTTTGGCCGTGAGTGGGAATCGAACTCGAGATGCCGGGTTCGTAGTGCAGCACGCTAACCGCTACACGCACACAGGTACGTACACACAGACGCGCGCATGCTCACGTCACCTGGAACTTTCCCGGATTCCGTTGCATGCGAGTCCTGGCTCCCGTCACAAAGAGCCAAACACGCGCCCGCAGAGAGTTGGGCACTCCCAGTCTGCAGAGTTCACGAACCTGTACAGACACAGAGACGAAGATCCCCCATGTGGCCTCAACAGTCCTGTTCGGGCAAGGGCTGTTTAGTACGCACACATTTTGTGGGTGGACTCTCCAACACACAACCGGTTAGTTCTCAACTAGTAACGAATTGGCACGTTTTGCTGACGTGACAAACCTTACTAATCGGCTGTGTCGGGTGGTGGCGGGTTTAAGAACAGAACATTTATATTTACGCGATCTAACCTACTAAAAAAACCCCTCTATAATGGATAATATGGGTCGCGAAAGCCTACATGTTAAACTGCTGTTAATAGTGAGTAGCAGCGAATATGTACACACTTACACACACGCAGAAGACAAAGATCTCCCGTTCAGCCTTAAGAGACTGTTGGGGCAAGTGCTGTTCATAGCACATAGCAAGCACCTATGTACACACTGACACACGCTCACACACACAGAGACAAAGATCCTCCATGTAGCCTCAACAGACCTGCTGGGGCAAGTGCTGTTCGTGGCAAGTAGCGTCTATGTACACATAAACACATAAATATTCCCCGTGTAGCCTTAATAGACTGTTGGGGCAAGTTCTGTAAGTAGCAAGTAGCAGCACCTATGTACAAACTCACACACGTACAAAGGTCCCCAGTTTAGCCTCAACAGTGCTGTAGAGGCAAGTCCTGTTAGCGAGCAGCACATATAAAGGCCGGCACTGTGGCACACGAGGGGGTGGGTTGCCAGCATCACGCCCGGCCGCCTATGTTTCTCTAGTGGGGGTGTTTACTAAACAATGCACCAGGTATTCATCTGAGGCTGAGTCGACCTTGGGAAGGCCCAAGAATGGTGCAGATAATTGTCACTGGTGTTGGCCGTGAGCAGGAATCGAACTCGGGTTCGTAGCATGGCGCGCTAACTGCTACACTACCGCTCCCCACATACCTATACACCGACTCACCCACGCACTTATCCTTTCACTCAATTACCCACTCACTCATCCATTCACTCATAGACTCACTCACTCACTCATGCATTTACTCACACAGGCTCCCACCCAGTAATCCACTTACCAACTTACTCACTCACCCATTCATTCACTCACTCACCCACTCACCCAATCATTCACCCACTCACTAACTTACCCACCCACCCACACACTCACCCACTGAATCGTCTACTCACCGACTCAAGTATTCACTCATCATCAGCCCACCTCTCCTCTCTCTGACACACCCACTCACTCACCCACTCATTCATCCACTCGCTTACTCACCCACCCACTCACACACCTACTCACTCACCCACTCACCAACCCACCCACCCACCAAACCATTCACTCATCATCAGCTCATCTCTCCTCTCTCCCCCACTCACTCACTCGCTTACTCACCCACCCACCCACTCACCCCCCCACTCACTCACCCACCCACCCACTCACCCACCCACTCACCCACCCACCCAGCCAACCACTCACCCACCCACCCACTCACACACCCCCCCACTCACTCACCCACTCACCCACTCACCCACTCGCCCACCCACCCACTCGCTCACTCACCCACGCACTCGCCCACCCACACACACACCCGCCCACCCACTCACCCACCCACCCACTCACACACCCACCCACTCACCCACCCACTCACCCACTCACCCACCCACCCACTCACCCACTCGCTCACTCACCCACGCACTCACCCACCCACTCACCCACCCGCTCACTCACTCACCCACCCACACACACACCCGCCCCTTCAGGCTGTGCTTCACCCTCACCTTGCCAGGGCGAGCGCCCATCCAGCCGTCCCAGTCGGAGAGGACTCTGAGCCACTGAACTTCCCTCTCCCTCACCAACTCCACCGGAACCTCCTCCACCTCCTCCTCCTGCTGCTGCCTGCATTTCACTCGCAGGTTATAATCATCGTTTAAATAATCTCGACTTGTTTCTTTAGAACTGTTTAGTTTGGTTTGGCTGTGTACGGTGCCAAAGAAGTTCAACGTATACACACTATTATACACTACACACTATTATACACTACTACACTATACACTACGCTACTATACATTTCTACACAATACACTACACTACTATACACTATATACTACACTACAAAACACTACACATTACTATACACTACACACTATTATACACCACTATACACTACACACTATTATACACTACTATACACGACACATTACTATACACAACTACACTATACACTACTATACAATACACTGTATACTACACTATGACACACTACACTACTGCACACTACTATAAATTACACTACTACACACTACACTTCGATACACTACTATACACTATACTATACACTACACTACTATATACTCCTACTAGCGGTAAGTACCCGGCGTTGCCTGGGCGAAAAAAAAGACAGACACACACATCGACCTACACACACAGACATTGACCCACACAAAGACATCGACTTTAGATACACACACATGGAGTTACACACACACTCGTAATGGTTCGATAGAGGCACTTACACTCGTGTGGAGGCAACACTATTTATTTAACACAACTGCAACACACCCTACACATAAGGTGGGGACCACCGTCCTACTCTCACTAACACTCGGTACTACTTGGCGTGGCCAAGCCAGGAGGCTACTGCTTGGCCACGATGACTGGAGGCTTCTCTCTTCAGAGTCTTCATACGACGGCTTCATCCCAGGCACCAACAGCCCAGCTCTGTGAGCTGAGCCCGCTTATAAGCCTCTCCAGTGTGACCGGCCACACCCTGACCACACCCCCCTTCTCAAACCCACGAGAAGGCTCCACTCCCTGACCACGTGACCCCCAGGATCCCCCAGGGCCCCCGGCCCCCTCTTGGATCCGGTCACGTGTCCAGCCGGGGTCACTCAGAGTGCCACGGCCTGACACAACCCCCGTGGCACCCATCAACAGCCTCCATACCGAACAGGCAGTGATATCACGCATATAGACCCAACATGACAGTGACGTCATGTGTATACAGACCCGATACAGTAGTGATGTCATATGTCACTACACATGCACCTACACACACACACAAAGAAATGAACTTACACACTCACATGGAGCCACACACACATGGACTGACACACACAGACACATCGACTCACACACACATCGACTTACAGACACATCCACTCACACATGTACTTAGACAGACATAAATATTAAAAAAAGTACTATTTAAATTGTTAAATCTTAGTTGTTTACGCACACACAAAACACGCACACACATTGACAAACACACACACATCGACTGACACACACACATGGACTCACACACACAGACACGTCGACTCACACACACAGATATCGACGCAAGCACACACAATTATTTAAAATTGAAGTAACCTAATTGTTAAATATTAGTTGTGTACACACACACACCACACACACACATTGACTAACACACACAACGACTGACACACAGAGATATCAACTCATGCACACACACATAGAGCCGCACATACATCGACTGATACGCACACACTCACACGGACGTAGACACACAGCCATGGTGGTAGACACGCACATGGACTCGCACGCACACAAGGAGTTATACACAATTAAAAATATATTAATATCGACCAAGTAAATTTTGAAATCTTAGTTGTCCGCACGCAAACATTATGAATGTAATATTTGCAAGGTGATTCTTTAAAATTACGGTTTCTGTCAACGTTAGTTGACACAATAATAAGAATATTATTAATGACCAAGGTATTGAAAGAAGCTTGATTTGAAGCTTTCGTGACTGCAGGAATCCACACTCTTTGGTTATGTCGGTAAAGTCATGTGACTTTACCAAAAGAACCAAAGAGTATTGAAAGAATGTTAGTTGTGAGCACACGTGAGTTTAGTTAACTAAGCAAGGAAGAGAAAAATTAGTTGTTTGCACACAAACAGTATGAATGTAATATTATCAAGGTGGTTATCAAAATAAGTTTTCTATAAAGGTGAGTTGACAAATAATACATATAATAATGACAAAGTGATTATTAAAAGATTAGTTGTGAGCAGGAAAACAAAAACAGTAGTCTGCACACAAACATAGTTAATGTAATATCATAAAGGTGATTATAAAAAAAAAACTGTGTTTCTAGCAAGGTAAGGTTAGGGAAAGAAGCAAGGAAATGGTACGTAACATTGCCGTGGTGAGGCCTAGTCCCGTGCAGAGCCCCCGACCTCGCCGAGAGTGTGCAGCCGGCCGAGGTGTCATCTTGGCAGGCTGGGGGCTGGGCCGCCCCCCCCGGCCACGCTACAATAATACTACGTAAGCGCTATAATCATATCTGGGGGCTCTATAGTAGTAACAGGACGTATTGGAGTGGGGTGGGGAGAAGAGGACATCACACTGTGAACAAACAACCTCACACTGTGAACAAACAACCTTGCATGTTTAGCGCGAATGAAAATTTGTGCCGATCGTGTGTGGGTTGCTAGGGGCTAACCGTGATGAGCGTTGTGCGCATGCGCAGTTTGCTGCATTGTCCCGCCCCGAGCGGTGAAGGGAAATAAGCAAATAATAGTGAAAATAAATTAATAAACATCGAGAAATCGCTAAAAAGCGCGATTTAAACTAATTTCAAAGTGACGGACGGGAAAAGAAAATAGCGCTTGCCCACCGCGGAGCTTACGGCGTGGTACCTGGATATTTTATTTTACATAAACCCCACCGATTGAGAGCCAAATCCCTCGCAAGCGCGCATGCGTAGACAGACGGACGGACGGACAGAAAATGAATTTTATAGGTAAGACTAGCGGTAAGTACCTGGCGTTGCCCGGGCAAAAAAGGCAGACACACACATGGACTTACACACAGACATCGACCCACACACATAGAAACACATGAACTTACACGCACACACACATATGGACTCACACACACAGACATCGGCTTTAGACACGCACATGTAGTTACATACACAAATCGACTGACACACAAATAGAGTTACACACCCATATCGACTCACAGATACATATGTAGTGTTGTAAAGACGAGCAGACTTCTTAGGAGGCACACTCTGCTTATTGTATTAATTCTTCATACAATGCTTAACACACACAGAGGGATATACGGTCCCCTCACCCGATACCCTAGGGAGGTACAGCCTCCGGACTTGGCGGGGCTCACACGTCTACCGCTAACCTAGCCTAGAGTCCTCCGGCTAGGACCTAGGGGAGGCTATCTGACCCACCGCTGGCCCGGTGGGTCCTGACCACTGGGTATGCCGAGCCTTAGCCCTTAGAAGGGCTGGGAGGCTGGTCCAGGGTCCTGGCTAGGCTTCAGCCCAGTCTTCTGTCTTCGTGCAGGGAGAGAACTCCCCGAGGTCTGTTGGGTCACCCGTCTTATACTCCTTCGTGGCCAGGTAGAACCAATCATACATTCCCAAGTGGAACCGTCTGATTGGTTCGTACCAAACCCTGGCTACGATCCGTTTCACCTGGACTGACCCCAACCGTTGTACCCAGAGGTAATGCCGCACTGCCCTGGTGGCAATGCAGGTTACGCAACAGTGCGTAGTTAACACCTCTACACATACATAGACTGAACAACAACTGCCATTTGGCACTAAGTGGCGGTGACATCACCACAACGCTTGTGCCAGGCTATGTGCACCTTGAGGTCACGTGAAGTGTCGAACGCCCGCTGGCAGGAGGTGACGGGGCAGACCTAGATGGCATAGGTCGACTGACTGAGATGACTGGCTGATGCACAACCTGTGCCCCCTACTGTGGCAACTTGCTGTGCTTTAGCCACCTGGCGCTCCGCTCGTTGTTGTGAGCGTCGCTCCTCTACCCTCCGTTGTTGTTGGAGGGCGACTGCCTCCAACTGCCCAGTAGCGTGCTTCAGGAGCCTCCTCCACAGAGGCCGATCTTGACACGGCTGGTACCAGCCATCGGCAAGTCCACACAGCTCCACGTCCTCCTGTACCACATCACTCCATCTCTTCTGTAGCCCGTGCCGCACCCGTTTAGCACCCTCAATCCGGCCGAACAAAAGCTGCTTAGGGATGCAGTGGCTGGGCATGCGGGCTACATGACTCAGGCAACGCAGCCTTGCCTGCCAGAGGAGCTCACCGATGGGACTTTGTCCACATCTTTCAAGGATTTGTGAGCTCATCACACATTGTAGCCTGGTTAAACCCAGGATGGATCGTAGGCAGGCCATCCTAAATGTATTTAACCAGCGAAGATGTTGGCGAAGACCTGAAGCTTCATGCGGAGTGATTGACCAGGTAACTTCCACACAGCGTCACGCAACTGATGAAAAGATAATTTGGCTCGACTGATTCGGAGTGAGATCTCTGCTGTTAAACCGGAGCTGGTCATTAGCTGCCAAGGTATGGCAATCTCTCCACTCTCTCCACAACTGCCCCATCACCAATTGGGAGTTGTGGGGGTGGAGTGTCCGATCGTACAAAATACCCAGGGAGGTGCTTAGTTTTGGTGGGGCTGATGGTAAGGCCCCACCTCTTGGTGGCAAGCTCCAGGTTCAGCAGCAGCACCTCGAACTCCTCCTCCAAGTGAGCAGCAATTAGCAGATTATCAGCATACATAACGTGGTTGAGTAATAGGGAGCCATCCCTTGACCGCACCCGGGCATCGATCAGCCTCCCATTGTATCTGTACCAGATGGTAATTCCTCTGAACTACGTAGTAAAAATATATGTAAAATAATGTGGGAGCCAGACATCCCTGTTGCACCCAAAGGTGTAAAGGGAATGGCTCTAACTCACGGCCACGTAGTTTGACGCGGGGCCGCTCACCATCATCAAGGTCCTTAAGGATCGTGAGCTGAGGGTCAGGGACTCTGAAAGCACGAACAACCCAGAGGCCAGGCCTACTGATGGTATCATAGGCCTTGACCAGGT